GACTAGACTATAGACTAGACTATAGACTAGACTAGACTAGACTATAGACTAGACTATAGACTAGACTATAGACTAGACTAGACTAGACTAGACTAGACTATAGACTAGACTATAGACTAGACTATAGACTAGACTATAGACTAGACTATAGACTAGACTATAGACTAGACTATAGACTAGACTATAGACTAGACTATAGACTAGACTATAGACTAGACTATAGACTAGACTATAGACTAGACTATAGACTAGACTATAGACTAGACTATAGACTAGACTATAGACTAGACTATAGACTAGACTATAGACTAGACTATAGACTAGACTATAGACTAGACTATAGACTAGACTATAGACTAGACTATAGACTAGACTATAGACTAGACTATAGACTAGACTATAGACTAGACTATAGACTAGACTATAGACTAGACTATAGACTAGACTATAGACTAGACTATAGACTAGACTATAGACTAGACTATAGACTAGACTATAGACTAGACTATAGACTAGACTATAGACTAGACTATAGACTAGACTATAGACTAGACTATAGACTAGACTATAGACTAGACTATAGACTAGACTATAGACTAGACTATAGACTAGACTATAGACTAGACTATAGACTAGACTATAGACTAGACTATAGACTAGACTATAGACTAGACTATAGACTAGACTATAGACTAGACTATAGACTAGACTATAGACTAGACTATAGACTAGACTATAGACTAGACTATAGACTAGACTATAGACTAGACTATAGACTAGACTATAGACTAGACTATAGACTAGACTATAGACTAGACTATAGACTAGACTATAGACTAGACTATAGACTAGACTATAGACTAGACTATAGACTAGACTATAGACTAGACTATAGACTAGACTATAGACTAGACTATAGACTAGACTATAGACTAGACTATAGACTAGACTATAGACTAGACTATAGACTAGACTATAGACTAGACTATAGACTAGACTATAGACTAGACTATAGACTAGACTATAGACTAGACTATAGACTAGACTATAGACTAGACATAGAGACTATAGACTACACTATAGTCTAGACTATAGACTAGACTATAGACTAGACTATAGACTAGACTATACTAGACTAGACTATAGACTAGACTATAGACTAGACTATAGACTAGACTATAGACTAGACTATAGACTAGACTATAGACTAGACTATAGACTAGACTATAGACTAGACTAGACTATAGACTAGACTATAGACTAGACTATAGACTAGACTATAGACTAGACTATAGACTAGACTATAGACTAGACTATAGACTAGACTATAGACTAGACTATAGACTAGACTATAGACTAGACTATAGACTAGACTATAGACTAGACTATAGACTAGACTATAGACTAGACTATAGACTACTAGACTATAGACTAGACTATAGACTAGACTATAGACTAGACTATAGACTAGACTATAGACTAGACTATAGACTAGACTATAGACTAGACTATAGACTAGACTATAGACTAGACTATAGACTAGACTATAGACTAGACTATAGACTAGACTATAGACTAGACTATAGACTAGACTATAGACTAGACTATAGACTAGACTATAGACTACTAGACTAGACTATAGACTAGACTATAGACTAGACTATAGACTAGACTATAGACTAGACTATAGACTAGACTATAGACTAGACTATAGACTAGACTATAGACTAGACTATAGACTAGACTATAGACTAGACTATAGACTAGACTATAGACTAGACTATAGACTAGACTATAGACTAGACTATAGACTAGACTATAGACTAGACTATAGACTAGACTATAGACTAGACTATAGACTAGACTATAGACTAGACTATAGACTAGACTATAGACTAGACTATAGACTAGACTATAGACTAGACTATAGACTAGACTATATGTTCTCGCAACATTTAATTGAATGTTCCTAAAAGACCTTCAGATTTGCTGGAACGATCGCTGATCTTGAATAGTCAAGAGATTCACTATGAAATGAATAATACAATATTGTCTATTGGAATTTTATATATATTTTATGAAAATATTTTTTAAATTTTAACCCAATTTTACTCTCAGTGTATAATTGTGTTTATGTACATATGTAATTGCAAACATGTTTCAGTTTATTTATGTGAAATTACAAGGACACGATTTATAAGAAATATAAACTTTCGTTTAACAATTTCAACACCATCATCTTCATTATCATCCAATATAACTACCGGTTTCATTCATATGATCATCACGATCATCTTCAGTAAATGAATCGCATGCAAGCTCAATGATGATCCACTTGCTATACGTTGTTGGTTGCAGCATGCATGTTTAGGGCATCCTCTTACATGCATGTAAGTAAAACTGGTTCCAGAGTGTATGGACAACATGTTGTAACTGCATTCTGGACACATGTTTTCTTTTTTTTTTTTGATGATGTGTTAGTGCGCGTGCAAATATTGCAAAAGTGTGTGTGTGCATAAATACCATTAATAATTGCAGGTATGCAAGAGTAAACTTGATGATTATCATTGGAATGTTTTTTTTTGAAGTAAAAACGAAACAAATTTATAACATTTTTTTTGGAGGTTTCAGGTTTTTCATTGTGGTTGTTGGTAGTTGTCATAATTTATGGACTAAAACTACATGCATTTTAACATGCGGTCAAAACGTGCCTTATCTTTGTAGTTTATTAAAAAAGGACTTAAATTATTAAAAGTTATAATATAAATTATGTTTAAATCCTTCAAAGGGTATTTAAAACAAAGCTTTAACAAAAGTACGTTTTTATTGGAAAAAATTAGGTTGATTTTAATTTATATCTTTAAATAAAAATATTTAACTTGTTGGTGAAATAATGTTATCTTTAACTATTGAATAATATAAAAAAACATAAATATTTTTTATGACTGTTATGTCTTCAACAATCTGTTTGCATGATAAACAACAACAAAATGCCTGTATATCACTGAATGACTGACTAACTAACTGATTGAACGATTTAGTTACTAAAAGTGTATAAAGTAAGCTACTAAAGATTTCTGTCACTATGACTACAAATATTGATCGTTCATAAATAACTGACAAATGCTGATTGAACATTATTTGTCATTTGTCTCTTGTTGCCATAAGCAATTTTAATGTAAAAAAATGTCTTTGTCTATTAAAGACTTTCTGTAGATGCTTTTTTTCTTCTTTTTATTTATTATTTAATATTGAGTTTATTTATTTTTCTGCACAAATAAAATATCAATAAACTCATTTAAAAAGGCCATATTAAGTTACAACAAATTGTTGTCTATTGCATAATTTAAGTTTATTTAATTTCAATTATTTAAACGGAGGCTGCTTGGCCTAACTAATTTATTCATGATGATGTTATTGTTAGAAGAGACATTGAATTTATTAATAATTGGTTGTTGATATTACTGGGCAGTTGGTCCATTATAAAGTGTCAATAGACCCACAGAAAAACAGTATTTGACATTGAATAGATCATCTTAACATGTTTTCAATATTAATTTGTACTTGTATTATCTATCGTATGGTGCAAATTATTTATGCAGCCATCAATGTTGTAATCAGTTTTACACAAAAATGAAAAAAAAACTCATAAAAAATGTAAATTCTATTAAATAAATAAATGTGTAATAACTTTATAAGCTCCTCTTAGTCAAGGTTAACAAATTACATAAATGTTGGTGTGTTTGAGATTAAATAATATTAGTATTTTAGAGAAAATTATTATGTTGGTTTTTTCCTGTTTCATAGCTGTTTTATGGTTTTGTCTATGTTTTTTTTTATAAGGAATTAATGAACTTGACTTTTATTTTTGTTTTAGTTTAGACACTGTAGTTTTCATGGTGACAACATTATTATTTTTTAATAGTTTTTCAATTTAAGCTGTTGAAAATCAAACAAGTACCAATTACTAGTTAATAATGGTTTAAATATAGTCGTTAGATAAATTAAGACGTTTAAAGTTAAGCGAATTCTATATGATTATGGTGAACTATTATGATAGTTGTGTTAGGACATAATCACTCTTGCTTCTATAAAACGCATACATATTATTTGTATGGGAAATCAAAATTTTTTGTAAAAGCTTTCTTACACAACAGAAACAACACTTTAGCTTTTTAAGCTTTATATTTGTTTATAAAAATTTAAAGTTTTTGAAAAAGTTGCCAAAAATTTGCATTTTTGACCAATATACAGTAATAAGCAACAAAGCTTTTCTATCTAGGAGCTTTAATAGATATTAATTAATTAGTCTTTTGGAAAAGCTTATTGCTAAAAAGCTATTTGTCATAATATAGCTTTTCCAAAGCAGACATTTATCCCAATTTTTTACAAAGAATATTCATCCCCACTTTGTATTTTAAAACTATAAAAGATAACTTTCTATGTAGGAGCTTTTCTAGGAAATAACTTTGTTACAAAGCTTTTATGAAAATGTTTTTTGTTGCAAAATACAGCCTGATCTGGAAAGTCTATTTTAACTCTGCAGACTTAACTAAAAAGAATTTAAAGTTCGTTATAATAAGTATAGTATATTAATGTGGCCTGCAGTCGGTCGCTTTAGTTGTAGTTTTACTTTTTAATACATTTATAAGTGTACAGTTAATTGAATGTTGGTTTTCCACAGCAATGTTTTTCTAATAAACTACTTTAATAAATTTATCTTTATTTGATTTTATTTCAATTAAATAATGATTTTCTCAACTAATTGCTGTAATTTTAGAAAAATTAGCAATAAAATAAATTATTTGTAAAATCACATATAAATAATAGTTAAAATATTTAAATTACATAAAAATTTGAACAAACTTAATAAAACTACCTTAAGAACATTTCACGCTTAATTATTTTAACCAAAAAGCGTGTCATAATTTTCTGAAATTTATTGTTAAACATTTACAAAATCTTTAATAATTTATTTTTCCATTTCATTCTCTTTTTAGCATAACTCTCCTACAGCCACCACAAATTCTAAAACGAAATGCTCAAATCTGAAAACAAACTGCCGTCATTACAGTTCGGTTCATACACAACAGCCAGCTGGTCCTGTACGTGAGATCCAAATAGATCCCTATATAATATTGGATGATGAACTTAAATATTTTTATGATGATGTTAGAGATGTAAGTACATGTACGACCATTACAATTATTATAATTTATAAATATTTTATTCATGATATTATTGCCAAGATTAAGCCATTAACATTGACTTTTGCACATTAAATGGTCAATTATTTTGTGGCCGGCCATTAACCATGATTTTTTTTCATTTATTCCACAAAACGCATCATATTTGGTAGTGAGTGAGTGCTGCATTTGGGTTTTTCTTGTAAGGAATTGTTTAGTTGTAACAAGTTTTATTCGATTTTTGTTATAATCTCATGTGTATTGTCTTGTCATGTCGTGTTTAGTTTGGTTTTGTTAAGTGGTTTTTTAAGAGTTGTTAAAAAGTTAGTAATGTCAATGTAAAGATGTATAAAAATAGTAAACGTATTTTCGGGATTACAAAAAAAATATGCAATTAATCCATAATTTTTTAATTGAGAATTTTAGACAAATTGTATGATCTTTTTTAAAATATTTTCTCTTTGTGAATTTTCAAAAAATTCTCTATTATAAAATTTTGAAAAAAGATTTTATTTGTCATGTAAAATTTTATCGAATTTTATCGATTTTTATTGGGATTTTTTTTTTTACTTTTTTGAGAATTTTCGACAAATTTCTTTCTTTTTATGATGTTAGTAACGCACAATAATATTGGTCCTATACCCACCTTAAAGTATACCAATCGGCTTAGAATCATTTTCATTTATGTCCGTCCGTATGTCTGACCTTGTAATCAAACTACAGGTCACAATTTTGAAGATAATTCAATGAAATTTGGTACATGATCTTCTATTGGCCCAGGGACGAAGCCCATTGAAAATGGATAAGATCGGTCTATTATTTCACCTAGCCCTAATACAACTGAAACCCCTAATATGGCTTGTAAATATTGTCATCAAACTACAGGTTGCAATTTTCAAAATAATTCAATGAAATTTGGTACATTTTCTTCTATTGGAGCAGAGACGAGCCCTATTGAAAATGGTTAACATCGGTCCAATATTTCACCTAGCTCCCATACAACTGAACCCCCTGAATAGGACGTTTAAGTTCATAATTATGTTTAATATACTCGTATCTCGTATAATTATAGGGCCTCATTTGACCCTAGTTCCTATCCACAATTTTATTCAATAATAAATGGCTTAAGTATATCTGAGGCAAGGTACAATTCCAGTTAAATGCTTTATTATGAAATCTAAATGACATTTTATTTTTATAACTTGCCCGACTACAATTTCTTACAAATACACTGATTATTAGATGGAAAATTTTCAACAAATTTTCTTTTCGTCTTTCGACGAATTTTCTATTCATAGAGAATTATCGACAAGTTCTCTTTTTATTATCTTTTTAAATAGAATTTTTGACGAATTCTTCTTTTAAAAGGTAATTTTCAATAAATTATCGACGAATTTTATTTTTCTAGTAAAATTTTGATAAAAATCTATTTTTATAGAAAATTTTTGAAAATTTTTTCTGTGATTTCTTACATAAATTTTAAAATAGGGAATTTTCGACGAATTTTAAGAGAATTTTCAACAGAGTTTTTATTCATAGAGTAGAAGTGAATTTTCGACGAATTTTATTTTCTAGGAAAATTTTTCGATAAATTCTCTTCGAATGTTCGACGTATTTTGTTTCTTATAAATAACTTTCGAAGAATTTTGTATTCATAGGGAATTGTGGACGAATTCTCTGAATTGTTTATTTATTGAGACTATTCGACGACTTTTGTTTTTGAGAAAATTTTCGACGAATTTTCAATTCATAGAGAATTTTCGGTGAATTCTCGTTTTAAAGGGAATTTTTGATGAACTATCGATAAATTTTATTTTTCCAGGAAAATTTTGATAAAATTCTTTTTTTATAGAGAACATATTTGAACAGATTTTTGGCTAGAGAATTTTCAACAAATTTTGTTTTTTTTTAAGAATTTTCAACGAATTTTTTAACCATAGAGATAGAATCCCTTTTTATTCTCCTTTTATAGAAAATTTAGAAAAATTTTCTTTTTATAGGCACTAATTTTGTTTTTTTAGAGTATTTTCGATGAATTTCTTAAAAAAATCTTTTTCACAAACTGTCTATTCAATCCTTATGGAAGGTACCAATATCCCCTTGTGAAAATTCGCCCATATATATCCTAAATATGCACATGGATGTTAAAGGACTTTGTGCTAAATTTAAAACCTAAACCCAATGGTTTCCCAGATAATCGAATTTTAATATTTATGTTCTAAACATTCATATTGATACTAAAGTGCCTCCGAAAAAATGAAGACTCTAGTTGTTATACTTAATCAGATACAAGATTTTCTTTATATGGAAGGTGCCACGCCCACTTTATAAGGCTGATCATTTTATTCTCATGTATTCATGTAGATGGCACGTCGCCCACTTGAAGTTTTGAGGTAAAAAGTAGCCTATAGTTCCTTCCAGACATACAAGAAGACACTGTGAAAATTTTTGAAAAATAGGTCCAGTCGTTTAGCTGTTTATAAAGTTGAAACAAACATACAAACACACATTAATTTTTATATATTGTATATGTAATATGACAAATTCTTTATAATTTTGATTAGAATGACAATTTAGAAAAACTTCGATTCATAAAATTCTCAAATTATATAGAATTCGAAATTCTTGAAATATTCTCGAAAAAAATTAATTAATTAAAAACTAATTCGTTGTGTTTAAATTTTCCAAATAACTTCAAGGAATTTTTTCTGTTTTATTTTTAGTCAATTATTGATCACATGTTTCAATTCACATTTTATCTGAAAGCAAAAAAACTGTAAATTTCCTTCACTCCCAGTTTTAATTTTAAACTTATGCTAATTCTCTGTTCTCTTATCATCTCTTTACAGTTACTTGCACAAGGTACAAGTCAAGCTGAACTTGATAAAATCGCCACATACTACTTCGATGGCCAGGGTAAGGCCTTAAGGCCCATGGTCACTATGCTCATGTCCAAAGCTATTAATTATCACTTAAATAAAGAATCAAGGTAAGTTAACATATCTTTTATAGAGTAATTTATTAGCAATTTTCATTTAATTGCCTTCGATTAGTTTTAATTTAAATAAATTGCCTAAAATCTACTTTTTTGGGGAGAATAATCATTGTTAACCTTTAAAACTAATTTATTTAAGTTTTACATAAAAAAGGGAAAAACTAACAACAAATTGCATTCATTTATTTATTTATTAAGTCAATCACTTTGTACAATCAGTAAAATACAATGTTTTTCCATTGTTATTGTTGCGGTGCGTTTTTTTATATTGTTAATGATTTTTTATAAATAAATATTTAAATTAAATTTAATGTAATTTTTTCCACTTTTGTAAAAAAATGCAATTTTATTGTGTTGTATTGATATTAGTTATTGACCCTATAAAAAATTGGCCAAAAGGCTATAACAAATAAATATTTTGTAATTGTGTTCGAGCATAATCACACACACTTATACACGTGTATGAACACACATTTATTGCATGTACAAATACAGTGTGCATTAAAACTTTTTACACAACTTTGGAAAAACCAATTTAATGTGTAAAACCTGTAAGCGTATAAGCAGATTTATGCAATTCCTTAAATTAAACCAACTATTTTGTTAGCCACTGTATGAGTACATTTTTGCAATATTTCTTTTTTTTTTAATTTTTGCTGGTTGATAGGCTTTTGCAAGTAATTAGTTGTCGTATTAACCTTATTTTTATGATTTAGTGCAAATATCTGAACACAAATATTTCAATACATTTCATTCAAGTACTCGTATAGCAATTGTTATAAAATTTTCGTACTAACAATTTAAAATTTATTTATTCATGACTGTCTGCATGTATGGAACATATAGATTGTTTATCAGAGTGATTGTGTGATTTTATGTCATCATTTTTATATATTTTATCTTTTTTTTTTCCAAACATTTTATTTTATTTGTATGTATTTCTTTTTTCCGTAGACAATTGCTGCATAAACAACGACAAATCGCTTTGTTTTCTGAAATGGTGCATTCGGCCAGTTTGGTACATGATGATGTTATTGATCAGTCTGATTTTCGTCGTGGCAAACCAAGTGTGAATGTATTATGGAATCATAAAAAGGTATGTTTGACAACTGTTTTGTTTTGTTTGCATATTGCAAATTACAGTTAAATTGACCTAAATTTAAGCTATAAACTATATATACATATATATTAAAGGAATTGTGATATACAGTTTATGTTTAATGCAAAATGTTATTTTAATTAAATTGCATTGAATTCTAAATGACCATTGTCACATGACTAAAAACTTCCACTTTAACAAATTCAGTGATTGTTCGATTTTATGATTTATTTTATTACGTTTTTGGAAATGTTTAATTCAAAGGTTAATTTTTATTTATAGGTTTATAGAACAAATTTTGTATGAAAATTTAATTTATAAACCTTTGATAAAAGTTTATGAATAAGACCCTTATCCTTTATTATTTGAGAACTATATTTCTTAAATTAATTCACACCTTCACTACAATGATTTGACTTTGATTTCTTAAATTAATTTTGTTTTCGGCATTATATTAAGTATTTATTAAGATGTTTCCTGATATATTTTGTATATTCGACAAATTTTCTTTTTTGTAGTGAATTTTCTATAAATTTTTATAGAAAATAAGTTCTTTTTTTGAAGACACTATCGACAAATTGTCTTTTTATCGATTTTTTTCCGGAGAATTCTCATTTTAAGAGTTAAATTCTCTTTTCAGCAACTGTTCCATAAATTCTCTCATTTATGAAGAATTTTCAAAATAAATTCTTGGACTATTCGCGAAAAACTTATTACTAGTCCGATTTAGATAAAACTTTACATGCCAAAAGAAAAATTTGTATGTTTTTATTTTAATCTCCAAATTACGGAACTGCATATATGAAAAAATACCTATCTTTTCTGATCCGAATGAACAAATTTCGACGAATTCTCTTATTGTACAAATTTTTTGAGTTTAAGAGTTAATTTCTCTTTTTAGCAACTTATCCATAAATTCTCTCATTATGTACAAATACTGTTTCAAAAATGTTTATAATTATGAAGAATTTCCAAAAAAAAAAAAAATTCTTGAACCATTCGCGAAAAAAATTATTACTAAACATAAAGTCCGATTTTGATAAAATTTTATATGCCAAGAGAAATTTTTATGTATTTATTTTGATCTCCGAAGTATATGAAAAAATTCCTATCTTTTCTGATCCGTATAAACAAATTTCGACGAATTTTGTTATTGTACAGATTTTTTGAGTTTAAGAGTTAAATTCTCTTTTAAGAAACTGTTCCATAAATTCTTTCGTTCTGTACGAACTATGTTCTAAAAATTTATCTATTTATGAAGAATTTTCAAAATAAATTCTTGAACTATTCGCAAAAAAATTATTACTTAACATAATGTCTGATTTTATTTAAATTTTATGGAGAATTTTCGAAAAATTTGCTTTTTTGTAGTGGATTTCTATAAATTCTTCTTCTATAGATAACGAATTCTCTTTTTGTAGAGAACTTTCGACAAATAATCTTTTTAGAAACTGTTCATTCTTTTTGTACAAATAATGTTATAAAATCGAAACAAATTCCTCAACTATTCGCGAAAAAATTTATTACTAAATAATAAGTATGATTTGAATAAATTTTGTCTTACCAAGAGAAAAAGTGTTTTCGAATTTAAGTTTTGAATATCGATCTCACAACACCACCAAATTCTGGTCCTAAGGTCTACAAAGTACGACACCTCGGATCCCTATTTGTTTCAGATCCGAATGAACTAAATATAATAATTTTTTATAATTTAGATAAAACTCAATTTAGATTTATAAAATCTTTTCAATAAATCTCTTTATAGAGAATTTTGGGTGATTTTTTTATGGAGAATTTTCGACCATTTTTGCTTTTATAAGAAATTTTTGATAAATATTCGGCTTATAGAGAATTTTTGACAAATTCTTTTTTTATACAGAATTTCCAACGAATTCTCTTGTTTATATAGAATTCTCTACGATTTTTTTATTATAGAGAATCTTCGTCAAATAGTCTGTTTATAGAGAATTTTTAATGAATTTGCATTTTTAAGAAAATTTTAGATGAATATACTTTTTAAAGAAACCATCTTTTTACAGAAAATATTCGACGAATTAGTATTTTGAGGATAATTTTGATGAATGTAAAGCATTTTCGATGAATTCTATATTTTTCGGAATTTTAATATAACGAAGTGCTTTCCATTTCTTTTAAAATTCGACGAATTAGTATTTTGAGGATAATTTTGATGAATGTAAAGCATTTTCGATGAATTCTATATTTTTCGGAATTTTAATATAACGAAGTGCTTTCCATTTCTTTTAATATCTGTCATTTAATATCTATAGAGTAAACATCAACGTTGGTTGTTTCTTCGAAAATGTCCAATGTTGTGGCAAGATTTTCTTTATTTATCTAATTTGAAAAAAGAGCAGCTGATGAAGCTTAGGGTGAATGTGTTCCAAAAGAATGTCCTTTCACTTATGAACTGCTGAAATATGGTCAGACCATCACAGGGAAACTTTACCGAATGCACCTGATTCGTTCTGAAGCGATTATTGGCCGAGTTGGCTTGATTCTCTCTTGGCCTAAAAAGACGAGCAGTTCTTTTAGTACGGAATCCATATGTTACCAAAAAGATGGAAAAAGGACATAGCCAGTAAATGGCTATGTTATAGTTTTTTATATACAGATATTAACAATCCATCTGTGATATGAGTATAGTTTTTTTGCTGCTATAGTGTTGCAACATGCTCTCAAAATTTCAAAAAACTATTGCAACATTCAGTTTTCGAATTTAATTCTTAAAAACAACAAACTTCTTAAAATTGCATGCAATAATAACTGTCTTGTATAGCTGGCAGCTAAAAAAAATAAATAATAAGACCAAAAAAATAATCTTGTAATTTATCTAGTGTTACACTACAAGTGTAGTGCCAAAAAATTAAAGAAAAAAAAAAAAACAGAAGTAAAATGTGTCTTATCTTTAGTTGTTAGTTTTGTTGTTTAACATGTTGTTAAAGAACCTTCAAGTAAAATTAACAACAATATTATAATAATTTAAACTTAAAAATTGTATGTTTTGTAAAAATCATACATACATACGTATGTGTGTAGTATGTCCGCAACTCTTTACACATGCTCAATTATAAAATTTACTAAATAAATAACAAGTCATTTACAATGAAAATAAGCGAAAAATAAGAAATATTTGTTAAATCACATTAAATTGTAAAGAGTTTTTTGGTGTTGCTTTTACAAACAACTCAAAAGACAGAACAATGTAGTCAATAGTCTGTGAAAAATTAAGAAACAATTTAAAAAAACTACAAACTAATATGTAATAAGTTGCATACTACCGTTTAAACGAGGGTTGTGTGAGAAAGCTATATGGCAACAATTTTATCACTACAAAAAATTTGGCATACTATAACGATAGAAATGTATATAAAAATTGATTTTTTTTTATAAATCAACTACTTATCTCACAATCCTCCTATAAGTAGTGTTTTATTAATAATAATAACAAAACACACAAAAATTGAAACTTTATAATAAATAAATCTATGACTCAATTCTTATACACTTTCAAATACTACACACTACTTTTTGGCCATTCAATTTAGCCGCTCATTCATTGATTTTTTTTAACCCAAATACTACGAACATATTTCGTTATAATTAATTAATGTTTATTAAAATGTGATGATGATCACGATGACTATGATGATGACGACAAAAATGTTGATGATTTCTAATGTTACTCATGTTGCTAAGGTGTTGCTTTAATTTCTATTGTTCAATTTTTTTCTTTGTATTTTGCAGGTTACAATGGCTGGTGATTATATTTATCGGTGGCTTCCATAATGATTGCCCGTCTGAAAAGTGACGATGTAACAATCGTTTTAAGTCAAGTGAGTATTTAATAATATTGACAAATTCATTAATAATAACGTTTTTTGTTTGAGTAATAAATTGTTTTCTGGTACTTATTGTTAAAATACGTTAAGTTATATTTAATTGAAATGAGGAAGATGTTTTTACGTTTGTTTTTAAATAGAGGTTTCTTTGTGCAATTTTGAAGACTTGTAAACAGCTTTATTTCTAATTATTTATTCAAACACAAAACATTATTGGAATATTCTCCAAAAATTGTAATAAGGAATATTAAAGAATTAGAATACAAGAACTTATTATAAAACCCTATAACCAGTGCACTCGATTTAACGATGTTGACACGTTACCGTCAAGAGAAAATAATTTCAGAAAATTCCATTTTCTGGGACATTTTTTCTAAGCATTATCGTGGCAATTACAGTACAGATCGGCACATCGAAGTCGAACGTGAATACTGCCATTATGGCCTAATTTCACGGTGGTACTTTTACATGTATTCTTGCAGAGAACACATGGATTCGCCGGTCAAAGTGGAAGCACTTTGCTCAAGTACTCGGACTATCTTATCTCTGAACCATTGCTGACCCGTTGCGTACTAGATGCAAAAACATTACTTCAGTTTATAACCATGTAGATGGAATGTTCTCTGTTCATTGCTTAGCAGCACCAGTGTTGCCAATTTGACGTTTTTCCCATAAAATCTGACGGTTTTTGAAATGGCAATTGCGGGAAAAAATTAGTTTTAGCGGTTAGTTGGAATTTTGGCGATTTTTAATCAGCATAACCTTTAGTCTAGTCTAGTCTAGCTAGTCCGTATAGTCTCTAGTCTATCTATAGTCTATAGCTAGCTATAGTCTAGTCTATAGTCTAGTCTTAGTCTAGTCTATAGTCTAGTCATAGTATCTAGTCTATAGTCTAGTCTATAGTCTAGTCTATAGTCTAGTCTATAGTCTAGTCTATAGTCAGTCTATAGTCTAGTCTATAGTCTAGTCTATAGTCTAGTCTATAGTCTAGTCTATAGTCTAGTCTATAGTCTAGTCTATAGTCCTAGTCTATAGTCTAGTCTATAGTCTAGTCTATAGTCTAGTCTATAGTCTAGTCTATAGTCTAGTCTATAGTCTAGTCTATAGTCTAGTCTATAGTCTAGTCCCTATAGTCTAGTCTATAGTCTAGTCTATAGTCTAGTCTATAGTCTAGTCTAGTCTAGTCCTATAGTCTAGTCTATAGTCTAGTCTATAGTCTAGTCTATAGTCTAGTCTATAGTCTAGTCTATAGTCTAGTCTATAGTCCTAGTCTATAGTCTAGTCTATAGTCCTATTCTATAGTCTAGTCTATAGTCTAGTCTATAGTCTAGTCTATAGTCTAGTCTATAGTCTAGTCTATAGTCTAGTCTATAGTCTAGGTTATAGTCTAGTCTATAGTCTAGTCTATAGTCCTAGTCTATAGTCTAGTCTATAGTCTAGTCTATAAGTCTAGTCTATAGTCTAGTCTATAGTCTAGTCTATGTCTAGTCTATAGTCTAGTCTATAGTCTATAGACTAGTCTTAGTCTAGTCTATAGTCTAGTCTATAGTCTATTCTATAGTATAGTCTATAGTCTAGCAATGTAGTAAATTATATCGGTTTCCTTTAAAACCACTGTAACTCTCTGCTTTTTAAAAAGCTCTTTTTAAAAAGGAACACAAACTACAAGAGGCAAATCTATTCCCTTGAACTCACGAGTGCAACAGAAGTACTTGGCGTTGGTTACACTAAAGTTGTCAACCTTGAAAGCCAGACAACATTTTAAAAAAATTTTCATAGTTCTTAAACAAGAATCCAACTATGCAACACCAACAAAGGCAACAGCAGTAGATTTGGTGTTTAAACTCATAATGGATGTTTATTTTTAAATTTTTTATTTTTGAACATAAAAAATGTTTAAGATCATTTAATATTAAAAACAAGTACAATGAATAGTTTAAGCCATTAAAATAAATTAAATAACTACGAAAAAAAGAAGATATGGTCAACTACTACCATAACAAAGGGGAGTTTAAAATTATAATTATTTAAAAAAAGCCGCTAAAAGGTGTGTCAAATTTAATTTTGAATACTTATGACAGAAGAGTCTGTTTTGGAGAAAAATACTTTTTAGTCATAGTCGTACTTATAAACGCACCTTTATCAAAGATGTTGTTTTTTGGTTTGAAATTTACATTAATACATGTTTTATTTCACATTTAAATATTACATAACATTTGCGTTAATATTTTTTGCTTTGGATTTTTTTTCTTTTTTTGGTTTTGGATGATGCCAAATTCCAAAATATTTACACCATGTCAGACATACTATTGCCAAACCTCAGTTAATAGTTTAAATGAATTTAAAATTTGCATATGTATGTAAAAAGAGTTGCTTTACAGTGCGCGCGTGTGTGTGTAAACGTAACTAATCAATTTCCGCATGCTTGACTTGCATTGTAAAATATTTGATTTGTATTTCTTAACTTTATCATCTTTCTTGGCTTTATTGTAAAAAAATCTTCTAACTGACGGGATGACACATTGTGGGTTTTTTCTTAAACACATAATTTATATTCATTAATTCAGGGACTTTTTTCATCTTTAGCTGCTTTAATAAACATAAAAATTTTAAATGTTTTATTTTTTTCGTTGTTATTTGTCTTTATTTAACAAGTCTCGTAGTGGTGCAAACTTATTAAACAAATATTGACCAAAAAATATTTCTATTCACTCAAATATTTTTCAACAAAAAATTAGTCTTCTACTCTTGAAATATTATAATGTTGATGGGTGATGCTGCTGTTGGGAGTGACAATGTTTAATTTAATGAATGTTTAAAAGATTTTATTTTATTTTCAAGTGAGCCTGTTTAAATGCTTTATACTCTAGTGATGGGTGTATAACGAAAAAAGGCGGTATATAAGTTTTGTTATTAGGTTTGTAACAATTATTAGTATATACTTAAGATGTATCAGATCCGAAGAAATACATCTAGACAACTATCGGTCCTGTTATGCGCTATTTTAACTAAGGCTTTTGGGAAAGCGAACCTATGACCTCCAAACTGCTGGACTAGAACCTTACAAGCTAGACTAACTGTTCTCTTCACTGTTAATGATTTTTATCTAATTATCTATTGGCTTAAAGGATAATTTTCTAAATTAATTTAAATAATTAATTAAATTAAATAATATTTGAGCAAACATTTTAAGGGACAACAAATGTTTAAAAATTTATTTTTTCTGATTTCTTGTGTGGCCTATAGAATTCATCATCGCCGATTAATATTAAGTTTTCAAATTGCTGAAATTATTGACTGTAACTATTAGTTATGCATGCTAGAAGGAGATGAGCTCAGATATATCTAATTTTGACAGTTTTTTTCTAAATGTTTTAAAAAAGAGAATATAAAAAAACTGTTTAGTGTCAATGCCAATTAACATTGTTTTCTTAGTATTTGTAATACATACATGCATACATATTTGAAATTTAAATAAATAAATCCGGTTTAATGTATTTGAAACTAAAGTATTGTAATGCCAAAAAATTGGCTTTTTCTCTCTGTCTCTATTTATTATTTATAGATTAAACTTTCAAATTGACGTGTGTTTAAATTATTTCTAAAAATAGTAAATAGGAAAGTAATATTTAGTCTCTTGAAGAAATTTTCTCGATTCGATTTTAAGATTACGATTAATTTGCACTTCATTTCTTCAGAATTCAATTAAATTTTTTTTTTAAATTTAGTTTTTTTTTAATGTTTGCTTTCAATTTTACAGCATATACAATTTTCCATCCCTGACTGCCGTTAAATACATGTTACATGTTGTTTCGGACTTTTGCTCATATCTAGGTTATTTATGGACTGATTTTGCTGATTTTAAATAGGAAACTTCTCGAAAACGTGTCTTTTAGAATTATCCGATCTCTGGATCCCCGAGATATCTGGGGTCTATAGAACAACAGATACAGAGATAGACGGAAATAGCTTAGTTGACCCCGCTATCTAAAGGATCCGAATTATTGCTCATACCTATGTTATTTATAGGCAGAAAGCTCTCCTAGACCGGTCAAAAAGTTTGAACACCAATAATTTAAGCATTACTCCATTA